GGGCGGAGGGACCGGAAGTCCGCGGGCCACAGACCCCGGATGCAGCTGCGGCGGAAGGCTATCCGTGCTGCCTGCTGCCGGTTTTCCTCTGCTTTTTTGTGCTTCTGAGAATCGCAGTAATAACGGGTCACTTAGAGATGCTTTACACTTCTGCACATCTAATTGTCCTGTAAGGATGATAGCTGTGAGTAGGCTTTGTGTATGTGAAACCAAGTTAACGTTCATACATACATACATACAGTATGGAGATAGAGCGGGCATGGTTGCGCACGCCTTTAATCCCAGCACTTAGGGCTGAGGCAAGCCTAGTCTGCTTAGTTCCAGGCTAGCCAGGGCTACATAGTGAAACCCTGTTCCTAAAAATAAAACAAAAAAATTCTCACATGTGTATGTGAAGATACATACGTATGTATGTATATATGTATGTATGTATGTATGTATCTCCACTTGAATGCTTGAATCCCCTCCTCACACAATCTTCCAATGGGGTTCTGTGGGTTTTGTTTGAATACCTCCAATGAACAGATCATGGTGTTTCTCACAGCACAGAAAGCAAACTAGGAAAGGGAGTGAAGTCTTTTCTGCTTTTCCAAATAGATGACTCAGGGCTTAGTAAGACTCCTGAGTTCTGCCTGGGGACAACAGAAAAGAGGAAACATGGCAGGCATTTTTTGAGGTTATCTGAGAATGGACGTTATAGAACCTTGATGCCTTTCATTTGAGAGCTGAAAGTAGGAATTACATTTCCTGTGAACTCATAGAGTTTACTAGCATGGGTCCTTTTCACTTAGGTTCTTTGTTTCTGTCTCAGGAGTCTTCATTTCAGCAGTCAGCAATTCAATTTTAAGAGTGGTTTTCCAAATGCGGTTTCCAGGCCAAGATTGCCATGGGTTGAAGAATTCGAGTATGAAATGTTCCCTCCATGTTCATATTTTAGATGGTGTTTCCCAGATGGTGATACTGTTGTGGGAAGCTATGGAATCTTTAGGTTCTAAAGCTTACAGAAGGTCACCAGAAGTGGCCTTTAAAGATGTCATCCAGCCCCTGGTTCCTACTTGGTTCCCTGCTTCCTGGTCCATTGTTATGTGAACAGTCTCTGCTACATGTTCCTTCTCTGCCCTGGTGATTGAAATCCTCTGCTGCAGGTTGTGTTAAGTGACCTCAGTTATGAGGTCCAGTTCAAGTCTCTTACAATAGAAGATATTTTTATAAAAGTGTATCACCACAATTGCAAATTCTTTTTTGGCATATTTTCATTGCATATAATGTTGGGTTTCATAAGAGTAATTCCTTCCATTTCGTGATACACTTTGTATTCACCCTCCCCCTCCATAAATAATCTCCTTACTCTCCATTCCTCCTTTCACTGGAGTCTTTCTCTAGCCTATTTTCTAATTTCATATTACACACAAACACATACAACACTTATGTATCTATATGAAATCTAGGATCCACAAATGAGAAAAAAATGTGACACTTGTCATTCTGAATTTGACCTATTTGCTTAACATAATGATCACCAGTCACATCTATTTTACAACAAATATGATTTCATTATTTTTATGACTGAATAAAACTACATTTGCATATAAAAAGAAATCCTCTGCTGCTACAAGCCCAAATAAAAATTTCCTCCTTTTGTGACTATAATAGTTACAGAGACCCAGAAAGCAACTAATATGAATATTGTTTTGGAATTATTTAGAAATACAGATCCCCTAGTCACATCCCTCAGGGGTGCTTTCATCATTAGCTGCACCCATAAAAACAACAAAAATTCCTGTGTTATGGACCGAATTGCATCTCTCAAATTCACATATTGGAGCCCTCTCCCCAAATGTGATGGTATGTGGAGATGGGGCCTTTGGGAAGCAACTAAGAAATAAATAACAACAGACCCTTCTGATGAGATTGGTCCTCTTAGGAAATACTACAGTGTTCTCTCTCCCCTTTCCTATCGAGTGTGAGGAAACAGCAAGAAGACGGCCAGCAATCTAGAACCCAGGGGATGGGCCCTCACCAGAACCCAATGATGCAAGCATTCTGGTCCTAGACTTTCTGTCTTCAGAAATGTGATAGAAATCAATTTCTATTGATTTATGCTATTTATGCCATCCAGTTTGGAGGCTTGTGACTCAGTGGAAACACGCCCATAGCTCAACCCCCAGCTACACAGGGACAGCAAAGGCTCTCCATTTCTGGTATTTGGTTACTACAGCCCAACACTGCCTGAGGCTTCCTTCCTGCAGCACAGCTGCTTACTGTAGGCTTGTGCCCCTCCCCCATACACACATTTTGGACGGTGGTGAGGACAGAGCTAGAGTGGATAAGGTTAGAAGCCAGAAGTTTCCCCTCCCTCCTCTCCTCCCATTTCCTCCTTCTATCACCCCTTTGTGCTCCCCTCCCCTCTGCAACCCACTCCTCCTGTTTCTGTTCACAAAGGGGTAAGCCTCCCATGGGTATCAACAAAGCATGGCATATCAAGTTGAGGTAGGAGTAAGCTCTTTGTTTTGTATTAGGCTGGGCAAGGCAACCCAGTATGGGGAATAGGTTCCCAAAAGCCAGTTCAAGTTTTAGAGACAGGCCCTGATCCCACTGCTAGGAGTCCCACAGATAGACCAAGCTATACAACTGTCACACATATGCAACTTGCTTTGATGTGAAAGTGAGATAATTGTGTGTAGTTAATCTAAGCAAAAAGGAAAAAAGCAGGCCTTTAAGTGTCTATAGCCCTTGTGGGACAAATAGATCTAGTTATGACATGTGTATTCTATATTTCAAAATTATGTAGCTAAATGAAAAGTCATCTTCCTGACTCCCCACAGATATATGTGCCCATAAGATTGAGATGTAATCATGAGATTACATATACACATCACATGAGATTACACACTACAGTGCAGGTACTGGGGAGACACCAATCTGCTTTAGCAAAAGTGGGCAGCAATTTCCAGAGTCGATGGTCCTGCAGGCCTCACGTGGACAGGACTGACCTCCATCAGTCACTCCTCTGCTAGGCTGACATCTGAATTATCAGCTGCCATATGCTGTATATTTCCACATTCTCCAGCACTCCCCCACACCAATCATTAACTTCCTACAGGAAATATGATGGAAGCATTTTCTTGGCTGTAGTTCCTTCTTACCAAGTAACTACTGTGTCAAATTGACAAAAACCAACCACCACACTCCTTCGTGCTCTTGATTCTGACATGCTGTGTCCACAGCTATGGAAGTCATATGTGCTGGAATTTCCTGGACCATGCTAACAGGAAATGTTCTGTTCTGTTGTTCCCCGTGGCTCTTTAAATATCAGAAAATTTTGGTTCTGTGTAGCCCTAACTTATATTTCTCAAATGACTTTTAGGGCTGAAGAACAAGCCTTAATACCTATGAACTCAGAGGATAGATTGGAAATTGTCTTCATTGTGGCCATAAACAGGGACTCGTGGCTCCGAGGGAGTCACAAAGTACTGTGATGACCACTGTGACCAAGAAACAAGATGAGAAACTCAACTGCTCTCAAAGTCAGGGAGGTCTTCAAGCTCCAGCTAGACTACTCAGGCAGCTGAGTAGACAACAAGAAGTACAGTGAGGGCTGGGGGAGAATCTGAGTGGCAGAGAACTTGGCTAATGTGTGGACCCCCCCTCATAAAGATAAATGCAGTGTTTGTGGTTTTAGATGTTTTGCATATGCAAATCCCTAATCCAGAGCTCAAATTCCAAATTTATTGTGAAAGGAACCAATTCCAGAGGGGCCTTTGTTTTGCTCTTTGGTGGGAATCGTGTAGCCCAGGCTATCCACTATGTAGCAAGAATGACCTTGAAATTATAATCATCCTGCCTCCACCTCCCAAATGCTGGGATTACAGGCATGTCTGGCTTTATCTTGGTGCTGATGATCAAATACAGAGCCTCATGCATACTAGGCAAGCAATCTACTAACAGTTCCATTGCCAGCCCATGGCCATGTTATTCTTGACAATTTCTTAGAAGGTACCATGGCGGAGACACATTTTGCTTCCTCATGATTCCAACAGAAGCCGTTTGTCCTTTAGCCAACTTCTTAGTGAGCACAGGGGAGTTTTTGTGGTATGTGACAAAGACATAAACCCAGAGAGCCTTCATGAAAATGGGCTGTCTTCTCCTTGAGAGTCCAATGTCTGTGAAGGGGTTGAATCCATCACAGATCATCTCCATGCCATGGACGAGGCTTTGTACAGTAGACCCGAGACTATGATTTCTCTGAGTTTCACACCCTGGTGCTAGCTAGCCATGTAGGTGGTAGGAACAAGATGTCAGCTTACTTGTGAGATCCTGGTCCCTAGCATCCAATGGTCATAGGGTGAGTTTCAGCATGTCTTTCAGGTGTCTTTGTAAGTTCCCAAGCTTGGACTGGGCTCTCTCCACTGTCAGTCACCTCCAAAGGTCTGGAGTCATCTTCATTCCAGCTTCTTAGTGGAGAATGGAGCTGAAAGCTTAGACTTTCATTGTTAGGACTTCTTCTGTTTTCCAGAACTATTCCCTCCCAGTGACTGGGAGTTAAGGATGTCACACCTAGAAAGTTTGGCAGGGAGGTGGAAGAAAGGACATCATTACTATCTTAAGGCTCCGTAACTAAATGGCTAGAATGACAGTTCAATGGGCTAAGTATACTTGATAAATATACCCATTATGTGAATACTTGAACACAACAAGGTTTATTTCTCTGTCTTAGAGCATTGGGGCCAGTGCACCATCCTGGCAGGTGGGCGCTACATTCTGTGTGACTACTCAGGGAACCAGACTGCTTCTGAGCATAGTCTTTAGCAGCAGGCCTCAGACATTCTTGTGACTTTGGGTTCAAGGACAGAAGAAAAGGGAACTTGGGAAGGTTTCCTGGTCAGGCCTGGCATGACGTCAGCTCTTCCATTAGCCAACTAGCCATACTCAACTGCAAGGGAAGCTGGGAGGTGTGCCCAGCAAGGACAGGAGACCAGAGTTGAGTGGTCACGTGGTGGCCTCTGTTGTAGAAGGTGTGTTTAAGAGCCCCCTCAACTAGACTTTTTTTGTTTGTTTGTTTTGTTTTTGTTTTTTGAGACAGGGTTTCTCTGTAGTTTTGGAGCCTGTCCTGGAACTAGCTCTTGTAGATCAGGCTGGCCTCGAACTCACAGAGAACCACCTGCCTCTGCCTCCCAAGTGCTGGAATTAAAAGTGTGCGCCACTGCCGCCTGGCCTCAACTAGACTTTTTTTTAGGGAACTTCAAGATTGTGTGAACAATCTTCAACTTGAAGCCTTGTTTCCTGAGTCAGAGGCAGTAGCATACAGTGACAGTTGGCTACTACTGTTGACTGCTTTGTTCTGACTCAATATTTACAAAGAAACCTCACAGTTGGCATTCCATCCAGAGTCTTGTGGGAGAGAATTTGAGGCAGGGCTGTTTGATTGGCTAGTCAGGGCTACAAGACACTGCCCTCTGCTCTGGAGCGTCCTTCTTCTTCCTCACGACTAGTTTTTAAATTGTGTAGATGTGTGTTTGTATGTGTGGGTGTGTGTACAGGAGAGTGCAGGGGCCTCTGGAGGCCAGAGGACAGACACCCTGGAGCTGGAGCTACAGGCAACTGTGATCCACTCAGTGTGCATGCTAGAAATCAAAAGCAGTACTCTCTCTTACCTGCTGAGCCCTAGCTCCAGCCCCCAGAACCAGACTTTGCTCAAAGCACGGCAGGGCTTGCAAACTCCCCATCCAGGGCTTCTCCCCCTCCTCCTGTGTGTGGGCTCCTTTGCTGCTAGAGGTTGCCATGTGAACAGCTCCAGCTGAAGCAAGCAGATGTCATCTGACTGGGGCTCTGAAGAAAACCATTGTATCCCTGTGTAAGGGAAAAGAGAAATCCAGGTGCAGGGGCTCACACGTGTGCTCTGAACTTGGTAATCAGAGGCAAGAAGGTTGCCTCAAATTCAGGCCGGTATGGCTACAGAGTGCGGCCTTGTCTCAAGAGAGATGGTGGAAGAGGGGAGAAAGGAAAGGACACAAAAGGAAGAGAGGGTGGGAATTTGTAGTCTGCTCAGCATTTCACCTGGTGCCTTTTTCTTACCGAGAACATAGTCCCTGTGGAATGCAGCAGCTACCAAGGATCCATGGAGACTAGTATCACATGCTAGGGACTTGGGACTGTAGAAGGCCTAGCTCCTTAACAGTGTTACTGTCACTGCCCTAAACTGGATGGCCTCCTTCCAGATGTGTGTGAGAAAATAAATCCCTTATCTGGCTATTCCAATGTCCCTTACTCAAACCTCAAGCAGCTGAAGGGTTTCGTGTTATAGCCCTGGCTGGCCTGGAACTCACAGAGATCCACCTGCCCTGCCTCCCAAAGCCACGGACCAGTACCACCTGTCTGCTAAATAGACTTCTAACACGTGCAGGTTCTTCCTGAAAATTAAACATCACTGCCTTGACTTATATGTTAGTCTCTGCTACATTTAATTTTGATGGATCTGTCTCCAGAGATGGTTCCTATTCCTGTTGAACAGTTCAATTTTTAAAAATTTTGTCTTCCTATCTGTATCAAGATTTGAGGGTAGAGGATACCTGAGACCTTGTCTCAAAATTAGTTAAAATTTTAATCCAGTCATCATAATTCTACATAGTACGAGGTCCAGTGTGATGTTTCAGTAGTACGATCAAGGCCTTGGCAGATCCTGCTCAAAGCACTGTCCTCTCTCATCTTCTACCAGCCACTTGGAGATATACAGTTAATTACTGAGCTGTGAAACAGAACTTTGGAAGTTGTTCCCCTGTGCCCACCCCCATCTTCATGTCACCTCTCCTCCCCAAATCCTTCCTTTCCTCTGGTAGCTCTTAGACTTTCTGCTTCTCAGAATCAATGTTTTTGGTTCTCATATTGACATGAAAACACATGGTATTTGTATCTCTGTGCTTGGGTTATTTGACTTACCATAGTGCCCTCCACATCTGTGTGCTGCCACAGATGACAGGCCTGCTTTATTTTCTGTAGATGAATACTATTCCCATACATGCTTAGATTTAAACACACATGCACACCATGTTTTCTCTACTCATCTAGCCATCCACCAATGGCCATTTAGATGGAATCTATACTTCTGTTGTTGTGATCAGTGTCACATTACCCCTGGGATGCACAGCTGTCTTTGACTTGTTGATGGTAGGCCTGGTGGTGGGACTGCTGGCACACATGGCATTCTAGTTTTGGTTTTCTTAAATGAATCCATGCTCTTTTCCACAGTGGCTGTTTTAATTTCCCTTCCCTCCAACAGAACTTGTGAGTCCTTCTCTCTCCCAACTTCACCAACGTTATTTCTCATCATTTTAAATAATGGCTGTGCTAATCAACTTTCCGTTGCTGTCACTCATAATAATCAGTGTAAAAGGAAGAGATATCTATTTTGGCTCATTGTTTCAGAAGTTGCTTTGGACCTGTGACAAAACAGGACAGCATGGTGGGGAGCTCATGAGGACAGGGTCTGTGTAGTTTAGGGTGGCCAGAAAGCAGAGAAAGGAAGAGGCTGGGGTCCCAATACTAATTCCAGGATAAATTTCCAGTGGCCCTTTTTGTCCTCTGGGCCCACCTTCTCGTCCTTATAAGCTCCCAGCAGGCTATAGCTGGCACTAGGCTTCTAGCATATTTGCCTTGATGGGACTAGATCTAAACCAGAGAATATTTATTTTAACTGAGATGGTTGCTGTCGTTTGATCTGTTTCTCTCTTGACTCTGACACTGAGCAATTCTGCCATATACTTGTTAGCCATTTGTATATCTTCTTTTGAGAAATGTCTACTTAGATAGTTTACCATTTTTGAATTGTATGATTTGTTTTTATGCTTTTTCTGCTGGGCTGTTTGAGATCCTTATATATTCCGAATATTAATCCATTTGCAGAGGATTAATTTACAAATATTTTTCTTATTTTCTAAGTTGTCTCTTAACTAAAATTCCCTTTGTTGTGTCAAAGATACATATGACAACAGCACAGTGGGGCCATTGCTTAACATAAAATTTTCAAGCATCCTTATGGACCAAGCAAAGTAACTGTCACACAGAGACAGGAACATTCTAAAAACAGACTATACTTCTCAGAGCCCTGAGTAGAAATGAGGACTCTGCTATACTGGAAAGATTCCCAGTTCAAGGTCTTTCCAAAGTACACAAACGGCACTTGCTGAAAGGACCATAAGGGTGGTGGATTGCAGCACATCTCATCCTCAAAACAATGAAAATGAGCTGCATGGGCCTTCCTTGGATGCTGAGCGGCTGCTAAAGGCCTAACTCATTGGGAAACTAGGAAATTAGGGAATAAAGAATTAAAAATTTTCATGTGTTTAATATCTGATCAGCTAATGAATTACTCCAGGTCACCAATGATGAAGAAATGATAAGATTAAAGCCACATGATGCATTGATTCAGAGCTGATGGAACCAAGAAATGTTGCTAATTCTACATGATTGCCAGTGTCACAAAGTGAAACAGAAACAGACAAAATGTGACTGTTCACTGAAGTGCACAGTGGCCTTGCCAAAAAAACCGATAAAACAAAAACAAAACAAAACAAAAACCTCAAAAGCCTAAATTTGAACATGCTTGTTCCTCCTGGGAAATCCTGGAAAATCTGGCAGTCCTTTATAGTGCCTGCCTGTCCAGGCTCTTCCTGCAGCTTGAGTTTTACATGCATTACAAGTTCATCACATGACGTGTACCTCAGGAAGTTGAGACAAAAGAATCACTTAAGTTCAGTAGTTCAAGACCAACCTCAGCAACATAGCAAGAACCCCCTTCTAAAAAAAATTGTTCACTGGGTGGTGGTGGCACACGTCTTTAATCCCAGCACTCGGGAGGCAGAGACAGATCAATCTCTGAGTTTGAGACAGTCTGATCTACAGAGTGAGTTTCAGGACACACTCCAAAAGCAAAACAAAACAAAACAAAACAAAAAGGTTCAAAAACTAAGAAAACAAGCAGTGTAAATTAAGTCCCCTCATATCTGACCCTCAGCTATTCAGGTGTTTCCTCCTGAAACCACAATTAATCTTTAATGTGTCTTTTCAGAATGCCACTTGCATAGATGGAAGCAGATATAGCTTCATAAACATTTTGCTTTGTATAAACAGAAGTGATCACACAATTTTTTTCTGCCCCCTCATACCTGTTGTGGAACATTAATTTAAGATGTGTTACATTCGTTTATGCTGTGGAACATTTGTTTTAATGATGCAAAGATGTGTTGCGTTTTCCTGTTACATTTAACTCTGTGAAGCTGTATTACTTTGCCTGTATAAAACACCTGATTGGTCTAATAAAGAGCTTGAATGGCCAGTAACAAGGCAGGAGAGAGAAGTAGGTGAGCCTGGCAGGCAGAATAAATAGGAGAAATATGGGAGGAGGAAGACAAAGGATCGAGAGAAGGACTCCAGGGGCCAACCGCCCAGCTACAAAGCCACACACAGTAAGAAATAAAGAAAAGATACACAGTGTAACATGAGGGCTGGCTACATGAGGGCCGGCTTGTTGGGGTATCTGTTCCCGCCCGGTACCCCACAACCGGCAAGTCCCAGAGAAAATCACACAAACTCCTTAAGATTATAAACTGATTGGCCCATTAGGTCAGGCTTCTTATTAGCTCTTATAACTTATGTTACCCCATTATCCTTATCTACATTAGCCACACGGCTCAGTACCTTTCTCAGCTGTCAGCTTACATGTTGCTTCTTCGGTGGTCTGCGCAGGAGTGGCTGAGGGATCTTCCTCCTCTCTAGCCTTCTCCTATTCTCATTGCCCCGCCTCTATTTCCTGTCTGGTTGACCCGCCTATCATTCCTGCCTGGCCAATCAATGTTTTATTAAAATATGATTGACAGAATATAGACAATTCTCCCACACCACAGACAATTCTTCCGCACCAACACAGAAATAGAGAAAGGTAAAAGACCCAGAGGCAAAAGGCAGACGGGATAATTTAAGAAAAACTGGCTAGAAACAAGCCAAAGCAGGGCATTTATAAGTAATTATAAGTCTCCATGTATGTTTATTTGGGAGCTGGGCGGCTGGCCCCCAAAGATCCAAAGAGTAAAAGAATAAAAACAAACAAACAAAAAACAAAACAACAACAAAAACAACAAAAAGCTGTTGGGGCTAGAGAGATGATGTCTCAGTGGTTAAAGGCACTGGTTGCTTTTCCAGAGGACCTGGGTTCAATTCTCAGCACCCACGTGGCAGCTCACAAGTATCTGTAACTCCAGTCCTGAGAATCTGACACCTTTACATCAACACACTTAAAGTAAATTAAATAAATAGAAAAAAAACCCCAAAAAAACCCAACATACTCCCATACCCCCTCCCCCATGAGAGGAAGGAATACCCAGTGTTTGAGAATACAGGTCCTCAACTTCACACCCACAACCGCATGTCTAATTTCTTTAGTGGGTTTTAGTGTGAAGGAAACCAAGGAAAAGCTGAACAAACTCCAAGACCCTCCCCAATACCCTCTTGGGAGGTGGGTGGGAGCTCGGGTCTCACATATTCTCACATCTCATGAATAAACCTTTTCTTTGGCCAAACTTGTCGTTTGTGATTGGCATAGAGCAGGGCAGGCAAACAGCCCTGCTTTTGTTTCATGAGGATTCTGAGGTACTACCCCTAAGGCACTTGAATAGTCCATAACACAGGTCGGCTGGACTCTTAGTATCTCCTCACTACTGTGGGACAGCCTCCATATTCACAAACCAAACTTCTGTTCTTTAAGAATGGACGCACTGTATTCTACTGCAGATATGTATCCTATGTTGCGTAAGCACCGTGGATGACAGACATTTCAATTTGGCTGGGATTTTCTATTACAGACCGCAGCAGGACTCCTCATCATGCATGTCCCACTCAGCTCCCAGGTGTCTGACTCTCTCCACCCTCTTGGGCTTTGCACCTGCTCTTCCCAGAACATTCTTCCTCCATTCTCCAACTACCTGTCTCCCCTCCCAGGTCCTGACTCATGGTCTTCTCCTAGAAGAGGTCATGCCTGCATGTGAGGATCTTTCTCTTGCTCTCACTACCTTGCCGTTCCCACTATTGTCTCCCTGCAGATCATACAGAAATGGCTCATTGTGCACTCTTGGGTCTGGTACTGGACAGGAAGTCACCAACTTTTGTTGACTGATGGACACCCTGGAGTCCATTTCTCTTATTTGTTTTAGTATCCTAAATCTTACAAGAGACCCTAATGTATGTGTCTGTCCGTCTCTCTCTCTCTCTCTCTCTCTCTCTCTCTCTCTCTCTGTGTGTGTGTGTGTGTGTGTATGCAAGTGTGCGAGCTCATTCACGTATGTAGAGCTGTAAGTCAAAAGTCAATCCCAATGTCTTCTTCTATCACTCCCCACTTTTTGTTTGTTTGTTTCTTTGAGACAGGGTCTGTCACTAAACCAAGAGTTCAATGTTTTGACTAGACTGGCAGGCTAGTGAGTGCCCAGGCTGGGCTTGTAACCTCTGCTCACCCCCAGCCCAGAGTACTGAGGGGCAGATGCATGCACTGTGTTAACCTTTTACATGGGTGCTGGGGATCAGGTCCCCATGCAGCAAGCAGTTTGTCCAATGAGCCCAGAAGAGAACTGCATTTTAAAAACTTTCTTTTGTGTCCAATCTCCCAGATGCCTTGGACAAGCTCTTTGTCTGAGCATCAGAGCCCACCCACCTCCTGTTCCCTTGGGGAATGCTCCAGTACAAGCTACTTTCTGTTTGGTTAAATTCTCACAGAAAAGCTCTGCATTAGAAACAAGGGCATGAAGGTTCAGAGAGGAGAGCTGCTTGTCTAAAGGCAGGAGCCAGCAAGGTGGGGACAGGGTCGGGGGTACTCAAATCCAGATGCGGCTGAGAAGCATGGGTTGTCTGCTTGTCACTTCTTTCTTCGTTTTTCCGGACAGGGTTTCTCTGTAGCTTTGGAACTGTCCTGAACTCACTCTGTAGACCAGGCTGGCTTCGAACTTACAGAGATCCATCTGTCTCTCTGCCTCCCAAGTCCTGGGATTACAAGCATGCACCATCACCGCCTGGCCTACTGGTCACTTCTATCTGTACTCTTGGGGTCCCCTGTTTTGGGTTATTGTGTTAACACTCTTGGACCTTCTCCCATACTCCACTTCTACATCCTGCCCTCTGGTGGGGAAACTGAAGGTACCCACAAGGCCATTCTCTTTTGGTCACTAGTGAATACTGGTGACTTGGAGATCTGTTAGATCATGCATTTATGTTTGGATCAAGAGGTTGCTGATCAACCAACTAGTAAGAGCCATGTGTGCCTCAGCTAGACAGACTATACCCTCAGGTCCCTGATCCAAAATCATCTGATAGAGAATGAAACTCTGGCCCAGGGGTACGGGGTGCTGCTATGAGTTCCCTGAGCTGACTCAAACATTCAAACATTAGTATGACCCTGAACACCCCCCCCCCCCGAAACCTATGGGGTACTCAAGGCCTCCCTGGAGCTGGAATGTAATTGCCAAAGCTGCCAGGCCTGGCTGACGTTGGCATACAGGAGCTGACAGATACAGAAAACTTACTGGGTGTTAAGGCAGGGTACTGGGGGTTAAGCGTGCTGATCCCTTTAATTCCACTCAGAGCCCATTTTACAAATGGGCAGTGGATGTGAGGAATTGAGGCCTAAGGTTGCCAAGCTCCTTCCCTGAAGACTTTCTCATCAGCTCTGCTTCCTGTAAGTCGTGTGAGAGCGGCAGGAATGCAGTTTTCATGAGTCATTACCCATGCTGGGTGGGCTATCAGTGATGCAGCGATGCTGTGACCTTTAAGTTCCCCATTCTCCTGTAAGTCCAATAAGCTCACTAATTCGTTCACTAACCTAGACTCAGGTAAAGACAGTTCCTTATCTGGGGCTACTAGACATTTGTTTGTAGTAAGAGGAGCAGGTTGCTTGTTTGTCCCAGCCGCCCAGCTATCTTAACCCCCAAAATAATCACACAGAAACTGTATTCATTTAAATGCTGCCTAGCCCATTAGCTCTAACTTCTTATTGGCTAACTCTTACATCTTGATTTAGTGTAACATGAAGGGCCGGCTTGTTGGGGTATCTGTTCCCACCCAGTACCCCACAGCCGGCAAGTCCCAGAGAAAACCAATCACACAGAGATCTCTATAAGTTATAAAGCTGATTGGCCCATTAGGTCAGGCTACTTATTAGCTCTTATAACTTATGTTACCCCATTATCCTTATCTACATTAGCACATGACTCAGTACCTTTTCCAGCGGGGCAGCTTACATCTTTCCTCTCCAGTGGTCTGGGCAGAACTGGCAGAGGAAGCTTCCTGCTTGCCAGAATACTCCCAGTCTCTTTGCTCCACCTCTACTTCCTGTCTGACTTTCCCGCCTATACTGCCTGCCTGGCCAATCAGCGTTTTATTAAAATATGATTGACAGAATACAGACAATTCTCCCACACCAATTTAGCTCATTTCTTTTAATCTGTGTATCACCACGAGGTCATGGCTTACTGGGAAAGAGTATAACCAGCGTCCATCTCAGGCAGAAGAATCATGGCGTCTGCCACACTGCCCTTCTTCCCAGCATTCAGTTCTGTCTTCTCCACCTACCTAAGTTCTGACCCAAAGTTCAGGCCCAAAACAGTTTCTTTATTCATTAGTCAACGAAAGCAAGACATGAACAGAAGAACCTCCTATACCATTTGTTCTTGTCTCCCTAGGAAAAGCCACACAACATCAACTCTATTTGGCAGATGAGAAGTTGAGGTTCAGAGAGGGAATGTCACCTTCCCAAGGTCATACAATGTATCAATGTTAGTGTTAAAATTCAAACCTGTTCATAGGACTTTTGAACCTGCTTTGTAATGTGGGTGCCTATGGTGAGTAACTGCAGTCAGGAAAGGGGTTCAAGGTCAGTAGGAGCCTCACTTGGAACCTGCTTACCCAGCTTTGCAGTCTTCCCATGTCTCCCTGACCATCCCCAACTGTCTACAGAGTGTGTGGTCACAGCCAAGGGCTCAGTGAGGGCCAGAATCCACAACCTCCCTGTATCTCCCCCAGGGACTGTATTCCTGGCAGCCTAAAGGACATTCCTGGGTGCTCCAAGTCCCTAACCATATGGAAGCATGCCTAGCTGGAGGCTCAAGCAGTGGGGCTGGTGAATTTGTTGCTTTTTTAAATTTAGGGCTATCATCCACTCATCCCTGTGCAAACACTGAATCCCACAATGTGGGACCAGTGTTAGGAAAAAATCCTAAGAGGCTCTGCTGGTACAAGGAAATCCAATTAGGTCAGATCAAGCTAAATTAAAATGCCCATCGTTTTATCAAATATGACACTCTCGGATGGCCCAGTGCATGTTGGGGAGACAGAAAAACAGGGCGCACATGCAAACCCAGAACCATGTGTTTCTCCTCTGGGAGCCCACTTAAATTAACCTGTGGGAATGGTCAGGACCCCTCCCCTCCGGGGGAGGGTCAGGACCTGGCATGCTGGGATTTGGAGTCCAGACCAATGCAACTCCCAGGCCAGGGGGCTGGGATGGATGCCAGGGACTGGGGCTACGCTCCAGACTTAACCGTCAGTTCAAAGCTTTGTGGGCAGTTGACTTCAGGTTCCCTGGGACCTTAGACCATACAGCCTCCTCTCAGACCTAGTTCTGAGAGGACTAACTATTCACAAACATAACTGCCTAGCCATAAGTGAATACTTGTGGGGCCATCACACATTCACCCACACACCTCCTGCATCTTGGGTGCACTGTGGTACCATAGCAGTGCCTGGCTGCCAACCAACAGTGACACATTGGGTGGAAGGATGAGGCTTGGTGAGGGTGAGGTCACACTAGGAGGCAACTCACTGGGCCTAACCAGTTCAGGAGATCAGAGAGAAGAGTCTGTCCTGGAGGATTCTGATCCTGACAGGGTTCACGCGAGGAAACGGAGAAGCAGAACTCTATCTCAGTTTGCTAAAGCCCTTGTACCTGTCCTGGTTGGTGCCCATTGCTTTCTCACTGCTGCCCTAGTTCTTCCAGGGCTGGCCTCCAGCTCATCTGGCTTGTTCTGTGGTATTGGTTCTTCGTCTGGGCTCTGTTCCCAGGTGTTCCTGACTTCCGACCTAGATTATTGTCTCTTAGCCACAGCTGGGGGTCAGGTGCTGCGTTCAGCACTTAACCCCTCAGGACTTCATAGAGTCTGGAATGTTAGATGCTGCTACCCCACCCTCCTTCGATTTGAACCCAGGAAATGGACAGTTTACTCACAACTTGCAAAGCAGTGGAGCTGGGATCCAGGCTGATTGATTCCAGTCTGTTGACTGCTGCCCCATTAAGTGCCTCTTAGGGACGGGCTGGATGTTACCAGGGAAGGAGGAGACAGACAGGCATGATAGTGTAAAAGGCTAGAGAATCCTTTAGATCCAAATTCCATCTCTGCCACAATCTGGCTCTTTGGCCCTGGGTGTGACCTGTTTCTTCTAAAAGGTAGGAGGTACTCTGAGAGCCATTATCAGGCCAACGTCAAACCAGAGCCCAGTAGGTAGCCTGTATGTACTCACTGATGGGAGCTGATATGGCTATTGCAAGCTGCTGACCATTCCTCCATTCATATATTTAAAAATGAATGACTAATAGTTTTTAAATACATTTTTATTGATATCTATTGAGCTCTACATTTTTCTCTGCTCCCCTCTCTGCCTCTCCCTTCCCCCCTCCAACTCTCCCCCAAGGTCCCCATACTCCTAATTTACTCAGGAGATCTTGTCTTTTTCTACTTTTTACTTCCCATGTAGATTATACCTATGTAAGTCTCTCTTAGTGTCCGCATTGTTGTCTAAGTTCTCCGGGGTTGTGGTTTGTAGCCTGGCTTTCTTTGTTTTATGTTTTTAAACCACCTGTGAGTGAGTACATGTGATAATTGTCTTTCTGTATCTGGGTTACCTCACTCAATATAATGTTTTCTAGCTCCATCCATTTTCCTCCAAAATTCAAGATGTCAATTTTTTTTCTGCTGTGTAGTATTTCATTGTGTAAACGTACCACATTTTCCTTATCCATTCTTTGATCGAGGGACATTTAGGTTGCTTCCAGGTTCTGGATATGACAAACAAAGCTACTATGAACATAGTTGAACACATGTCCTTGTGGCGCAATTGAGTATCCTTTGGATATACACCCAAAAGTGGTATTACTGGGTCTTGAGGAAGGTTGTTTCCTAATTTTCTGAGAAATCGCCACACTGACATCCAAAGGGGCTGTACCAGCTTGCATTCCCACCAGCAATGCAGAAGTGTTCCCTTTTCCCCACAACCTCTTCAGCATAAGGTGTCATCAGTGTTTTTGATTTTGGCCATTCTTACAGGTGTAAGATGGAATCTCAGAGTTGTTTTGATTTGCATTTCTCTGATGACTAAGGATGTTGAACATTTCCTTAAATGCATTTCAACCATTTTAGATTCCTCTGTTGAGAGTTCTCTGTTTAGGTCTGTACTCCCTTTTTTAAAATTGGATTATGTGATCTTTTGGTGTCCAATTTCTTGAGTTCTTTGTATATTTTGGAGATCAGACCTCTGTCTGATGTGGGGTTAGTGAAGGTCCTTTCCCATTCTGTAGGCTGTCATTTTGTCTTATTGATTGTGTCCTTTGCTTTACAGTTTCAGGAAGTCCCTTTTATTAATTGTTTCTCTCAGTGTCTGTGCTGTTGGGGTTATATTTGGGAAGTGGTTCCCTGTGCCAATGCATTCCTGTGTACTTCCCACTTTTTCTTCTATAAGGTTCAGTGTGGCTGACTTTATGTTGAGGTCTTTGATCCATTTGGACTTGAGTTTTGTGCATGGTGATAGATATGGGTCTATTTTCATTCTTCTACATGTTGATATCCAGTTATGCAAACACCATTTGTTAAATATGCTTTCTTTTTTCCATTTGATATTTTTTGCTTATTTATCAAAGATCAGGTGTTCGAAGATGTGTGGATTCTATTCGGTTCCATTGGTCCTCCTGTCTGCTATTATGCCAGTACCAGGCTGTTTTCAGGACTGTAGCCCTGTAGTAGAGTTTGAAGTCAGGGATTGTGATACCTCCAGAAGTTCTTTTATTGTACAGGATAGTTTCGGCCATCCTGGGCTTTTTACTTTTCCATATGAAGTTGAGCATCGTTCTTTTGAGGTCTTTGAAGAATTTTGCTGGGATTTTGATGGGCATTGCATTGAATCTGTAGATTGCTTTTGGTAGGATTGCCATTTTTACTATGTTAATTCTGCCTACCCAAGACCATGGAAGATCTTTCCACTTTCTGGTGTCTTCAATTTCTTTCTTCAAAGATTTAGAGTTCTTGTCATACAAGTCTTCCATTTGTTTGGTTAGAGTTACTCTGAGATATTTTATGTTATTTGTGGCTATTATGAAGGGTATTGATTCTCTGATTTCTTCCCCAGCCCTTTTATCATCTGTGTACAGGAGGGCTACTAATTTTTTTGAGTTAATCTTGTATCCTGCTACATTGCTGAAAGTGTTTATGAGTTGTAGAAGTTCCTTGGTAGAATTTTTGGGATCACTTATGTAAACTATCATATCATCAGCAAACAGTGAGAGTTTGACTTCTTTTCCAATTTGTATCCCCTTAATCTCCCTTTGATGTCTTATTGCTCTAGCTAGGACCTCAAGAACTATATTGAATAGATATGGAGAGAGTGGACAACTTTGTCTTGTTCCTGATTTCAGTGAAATCGCTGGGAGTTTCTCTCCATTTAGTTTGATGTTGGCTGTTGGTTTGCTCTATATTGCCTTAATTATGTTTAGGTATGTTCCTTGTATCCCTGCTGTCTCCAAGACCTTTATCATGAAGGGATGTTGTATTTTGTCAAGTGCTCTTTCGGCATCTAATGAGATGATCATGTGGTTTTTATTTTTCAGTTTGTTTATATGGTGGCTTATGTTGACAAATTTTCGTATGTTGAACCATCCCTGCATCTGTGGGATAAAGCAGACTTGGTCATGATGGATGATGGTTCTGATGTGTTCTTGGATTCGATTTGCTAGTATTTTATTTATTTTTGCATCAATGTTCATGAGTGAGATTGGTCTGTAATTCTCTTTCTTAGTATTGTCTTTCTTTGGTTTGGGTATCAGGGTAATTGTAGCCTCATAAAAAGAGTAGCAATATTCTCTGTGTTTCTCTTGTGTGGAATAATTTGACGAGTATTGATATTAGTTCTTCTTTGAAAGTCTTGTAGAATTCTGAGCTGAAACCATCTGGTCCTAGTTTTTTTTTTTTTTGGTTGGGAGACTTTTGATGACTGTTTCTATT